GGGGGGTCCTGGGGGGCGGGTGGCTGGGTACACGGTGCAGGACCCCCCTCCTCGCCCTGCCATGGGGTGTGACTCACGTGAGGGCTCTCTCCAGGCGGCCCCGCTGGGACCCGATCACCTCCCCCAGCGCCACAAACGCCTGCCCCAGGAAGTCCTGCGCCCCAAGCACAGCATCGTGAGACCCCGGGGGCTCCTGCCCCAGCCCCCCACCAACCACCCCCACGCCTTGCCCTCCCACTGCACCTGTGGGACCTGCAGCCACCCTGCCCCAGGCCCACCCCAAGTACCCTGAACCCACCCTGTGCCCCAAGAGCCACCCCCCCCAGCGCAGGACCCATTCTGCACCCCCAGGACCACCCCAGGTGCCCACTCCACGTGCCCTGGACTCATCCTGTGCCCCCCCCTGAACCGCCCCATGTGCCCTGGACCCATCCCTCCAGAGCCACCCCACGTGCCCTGAGCCCATCCTGCACCCCAAAAGCCACCCCCGTGGTGTGTCCTGGCCCCATCCTGCCCCACCAGGCACCCCCACGAGGGCCGGGTTCTCGTGGGCAGAGCAGGGGCTGGTGCGTGGCAGGCACCTACCTTCTGCCAGTCCCCAAGGGGCATGGAGAGATGGAGAGTGGGTTAGAGCCCCCCGAGGCCGGGGGCACCTGTTCCCCCTGACAGCACCCGCACAGGGCACAGCCTCGGGGCACCCCACCATGGCGTCACACCGGGGCGTCACCGCGCATCCCCCCGGCACGGGCTGCGCTCACCTGCTTTAAAATTGAGCAGCTCTTGGAGTCCACGTTGTAGCTGGTGATGGGAGAGCAGAGCCCTGAGCCAGTGCCTGTGGGGGTGCCTCGGCATGCAGCCCCGCTTCCCCCACCCGTCTGTGCTTTTTGCTGCCGTATCCTTATTCATTATCCTTATTCATTACCGACTCGGCGCTTTGTTCCACCCCGAGCTGGGGCCGAGCCCTTCCCCGGCTGCCCCACTCACACGTCAAAGCGGAGGTTTTGCTTCTCCTCGAAGTAGTAGTCGAGGACAAACTTCCGGACGAAGTCGGGATTCAGGGTGTTGTCGATCACCTCGGTGCGCCCGAACTGCGGGGAGAAGGGTGAGGGCAGCCCCCCCTGGGACCCCTCCCCATCACAGCTGCCCTGGCGCTAATCCCAGCGGGGGGATTAGCACTGCCGGTGGGGCCAGATCATTAGTGTGGACACGGAGGGATCATTAGCGTGGACGTGGGTGGCCATATGGGCCCGTTTAACCCCACTGGGGATTAGCCAGGAATGGGGGCACTGGGGGCGGCAGCACCCCCGGCACGGGGCTGGGAGCCTCCCCAGGGACCTGGCGAGAGGGGCTGCGCTCACCTCCTTCCACTCACTGCTCCCTGAGCCCTGCACAAAGAGGACCACCACTGCGGAGAGAGGAGCAGAGCTGGGCGGCCGTGCCATGCCATGCTGCGCCCATGCCGTGCCACCCGCCCGGTCCCACCACCCACCTGGGTCAGATTTGGAGAAGGTGTCCATGTCCAGCAGGTTCCTGGGGGGACAGAGCCAGGCATGAGCCACCCTGGGTGCCACCCACCCGGCTCCGTAGCAGGTCCCCATATCCTCCCCCCCAATCAGGGGACAGCACCACGCAGCAAGGCCATGCCAAGGCCAAGAGCCCTGGCACCCTGGGAGGACGCGCTGGCTCCCACCGCAAGGTTCAGTGGGACAGCGGAGTGAGCGGGGAGCAGCATCTCCAGCACTGACGATGATTGAACATGACAGGGAACCCATTTAGAGGATGAAACCTTCTCCCCGTGCTGCTGGCGCTGGCTCAGTGCCCGCCGCACCCCGGGAGCGTGGCTAATGGTGGGGTGCAGAAGTGAGAAGAAAGGAGACACTTAGAGCAGGGGCTGGGCAGCCGGTGGGGACCAGCTCTGTGCCCCTGATGCAGCTGCTAGCAAGAGCGATTGATCCTCGTCCTTTGCACGCTGTGACACTGGGAAGTGCCGGGGGCTGCAACCAGCTCCGCTGGGATCCTTCCCACACCCCCCGGGTGGCTGCACAGGGTGGGCTGGGGCACGGCCGGAGGCTGTGGGGCTCAGCCAGCTCCGCTGGCCCCAGTGTGCAGGGCTGGGAGTGCAGGGGAGAGACCCCCAGGGCTCCCCCAGCAGCCCTGGACGGGACTGAGCTCTTGGGGGGCTCCAAAGGCAAAGCCTGCCCCTGCCCCGGGCCGTCTCCAGGAGCGAGCACCCGGCCCCTGCCCGGAGATGCCAGGCCCCACGGCCCCAACACCCGCTGCCCAGA